TTGATAATACCGCTCCAAAAATGTACTATAAACATTAAGTAGAAGTGAATATAATAAACTTGAAATTATAAGTTTCCCTTCTACGCCTAATCCTTCTAAAAGAGCCAGGGAAACACGTAAATCCCAAGTAATTATATTTGGATCTTGAGGGTAACCCAGCGAAATTGTCGACCAAACTTTTGGTAGACGACAGGGTGTAATAAGGAATCTTAAGAAGAATATTATACATATAATATAAATTTCGGGGTCTTCATGTAATAAACATAGATTCACTACATTAAAGGCCGGCAACGCACTTGCATGGCTCCTGGTATGGTAGATATTCATAAACCTATTATTGATTAAAACAGTAACTAGTATACATTCAGCCCTGCGATTCTGTAACTCACTTTTCGAACTCACACAGCGGTTTTCGCAGCGGCGGTCGCGCACAAATCAGTCGTGAAGCAGTCATTTTATGATTTGACATTCTGATAAGAAGGGAGCTTGTAGTTTATTGTTTATAGACTTTATTAACTAAACCACTCAGGTTGCCATCCATGAATTTTTTAACTCCAGTCACGGAAATTATGCAATAATCTGGAAGAAATTTTGTGCTTTTTCAAATTATTAGGGCGTTATATATTTTGTACTCGAAGTATTATTCTAAAAGCAAAGAAGTTGTCATCTGTATTCTACAGTAGCAGATTTACTAGCAGGCTGAGTAGGCTGGAAGCCTAGGGACAGATTTTGGAGCGGCAAATTTGGAGTGCGAATGTTTGGGTTTGACGTTTTCTGATGTTTTACAGAGTAGAAGTCTGCAAAAAATTGCCGATAGCTTTCACCTCTCACTTGTCAATGTACATTTGGTGTAGCAAACTTCCATATGCTAGAGTAAAACAGTAATCCACCTCTCTGCGCCTCAGTCACACCTTTGAATAAGTGAAAAGAAAGAAATTGCTGAAAATATTATATTTATTATAAATATTATATTATGCTTTTTTTCGACCTAGAAAGAAATTAGAGCCACTCATGGCCATGTGTAATATCTTTTCAGAATCCATATTAAATGCGCCAAAATATGTTATACGGGGTCACTTTTCGGTAGACAAAAGTTATGATTTAAGTAATTTTATAATAAATATAATAAATTAATAATGACTTAATATTATCTTTAACACACCCAATAAACAACCATAAATAGCATATCTAACGCAAGGTCGAAGTTTAATAAGAATTAGTAAAAATATCAATTTTCTTATAAAACGCAAAATAAATTATAACTCTGCAGGGGTTGAGCTTATGGACCTATCGTAAAACAATTTTTGCAGATGATCTACCTATCTCCTAGTTTATTCCACGTCTTTTTGGCCATCCTGTATATTTATTCTTTATGACAACAAACAATCAATACTAAATAATATATCAATCTGGCCAAAAATGGCATTTCAAGTATTATTCGATTTCTCCGGATCCTTATTTAAAATTTAAAAACATTCTAACCACTAGTTAAATGAAGTATTAATAAAAATTAGAATAAGACAAATTATAAAATGTAAGAAAATATTTGACTAAAAAGTAACTAAATAATATGTCTATATTTTGCTACTACTTGTTCTAGCCATGGCGTTGTACTCTCCCGTATGTTCTCAATAACTTGATGGGAACTAATGTTACAAAAGCTTTTAGCCCTTCCACCTGGACAATGGCTCATTTACTCCAAGTGAAATAAACCAGACACCATTGCAAAAGACAGGTAAATATTTATTTAATAAAGTTACACCATATAATTTATATTTATTATTCAGGAATGTTACAAATGCCAATAATACAAATAAATTATAAGATATGCCGTGGTATTACGCTGCAGGCAAAATAGTGAAAGATATATAGAATATACTATATAGTACTGTACTGTTTTAAACTACACAAAAGCGAAACACTTTTAAATGTTTAAACGTTAACCGTGGTGTGAGTGGAATACAAATCATAAAATATTTTTAAATTTATAAAATTCCACTTCTATGTCTTAATAGAAAGTTTTGTTGCCTAACTGGGACAGTCTTACTTGTGGGCCAGAGCGATGTTCAATATACACAGAAGATAATATGATCATAAAGTCATATACTCATATTTACAAGTTAGGTCTAAACATTCATCAGTACCACACTTTTAAAACGTTCTTTAATTTGTAACATTGTATACTTTGTATCTATGTTCGCCGATGAGTGCCAAAAGATGTAAGACATTATTTTTAACTTAACCAGTATAAGCTGAGAGCAGTGATGGCCTAGTGACTTGAGTGCGACTTTCATCACTGATGTCGTAGGTTCGATACCTAGATGTGGTCCAGTGGACTCCTGTCTAGTTGCGCGTTTAACGCTCTCTCGTACTTTGAAGGAAAACATTGAGAGGAAACTGGCATGTGTTATTCTCAAGAAGTCGACGCCGTGTGTAAGTCACAGGATTACGTACTTCTAAAATACTACGTACTACGTACTATCTAAAAAAACAGATACAGAAATCTGAGGCCCAAACCTAAATGGTAGTAGCGCCACTGCTTTATAAGCTAAACGTCGGCAAGCAATAAAATATGAATTATTTTTCTAGCCTCAGATGCGAAAAGCGAACAGTATGAAAGACTATGAAATAACTTTGTGATTTATACAAAATTAGCAAACTAAAAAATATTATTAAATATATATTTCACCAGACTTTCATTTGAATACAACACTGCTAAAAGACTTCAAAATTACATAACAAATACTTTGTATTACCATTTTTCTTATTATTTAATATACAATACATAAGTGCTGCCATCTAACAAGGGTAAAAAAATACTTTATGCTAGTAAAATCCGGTAGTAGACAAGACCTTTCTATATTAAAGTAGCCTAGATATTCTAGTTTATATTTATAAGTAACAGCTTCCAATCCTTAAGGAGTAATTGTTAGTATAGGTCGCAATAAGCGTTTTACATGCAAATTAGTTTTGCAGCTCGTTTTAACTGCATGGCTGCTTCAATATGTAAAGCTATTGTGCTAACAATGCTGCTTAAGTCTATTATAATCTGTGATTATTTATTTTAGCGCTCGTGTAGTTGTTAACATAGAGAACACGATAGGAAATCGGGCAAATTTTATCAATATAATATGAGGGAAGTATTTTATAACTGCGGACTCAATATAAAACCTTTTTTTATATTAAATTGATGCGTTCGCCTAAATCCCACGGATGGAAGGTGTTAACGTAAGATTGGGTGGTAGAGTCCTATATTTAGGACCTAGAAAATATAGGACTGTTGTTTATCATGATTTCGATATTTCCGAACCAATTCGACTTAGAGTCCTTCAAGAAAACCAATCTTAAAAGGCCGGCAACTTACTCATGAGCAGCAGCAGGTATTGAGAGTGTCCATATTCTAAACAAAAAAAATAGTAGTGAGAACTGCTCTTTACTTAAGTAATCGATATATCTTTAGTGGTTTATTTGTGTTGTGTTTATTTGTGAACTTGACAAAATATGCCTTCTGGATTCGTATTGCACATGCTTGACCGAAAGTCTTTTAGAAATTTTCAATACATTGACAAAATATTGGATAGACTGCCAAAAAATCACAGGAACAAACAGTGAAAACCTAGATAAGCCTGCATTTAAATGTCATCTTGTAACATAGGTTGAGTGACGTTTTTTGTTTAATGTTCTATAAATATATCGTTCCGTATTAATTTCAACTGCCCTGCGATTCTGTAACTCACTTTTCGAACTCACACAGCGGTTTTCGCTTCGGCGGTCGCTCTCAAATCAGTCGTGAAGCAGTCATTTTATCATTTGCAATTCTGAAAAGGTGGGAGCTTGTAGTTTATTGTTTATCAGATTGCCAAATGATAAAATGACTGCTTCACGACTGATTTGAGAGCGACCGCCGATGCGAAAACCGCTGTCTGAGTTCGAAAAGTGAGTTACAGAATCGCAGGGCTGATGTTTAAAGTTATAGGTTTTGTTTAAATTATATTATAGGAAAGCAGGCTATAAATGTGAATATAAGTTAAGTAGGTTGCGTATTCATTTCGTATCTATTATATTACCGTATTATCGATATATCAATAGGTTAGGTTAGTTTGTTCAAGATAATAAATTTGAAATACTAAATATTTTCAAGGTTTTTAACGTTTACCGCAAGTAAAGTTCGGTGGCGGATGTTGTAGTGTTGTAGTGTTGTATTTTCAGAGATTAAAAATGTGGTCCAACATTAATTTCAAATCACATGAAAATCGTTACAACGATATTAAATCGCAGTTTTTTATTATATGTGTGGGAGCTTAGGTGAAGATTAATAATTTTAATCAAAGATCTTTAAAAGGAGAAAAAAGTAAAGTCTGTCAACAGATTGTCTACGTTTATTAAAACGTTTAGCATTCGTATGTTAGATATATTCAAGGTTAAAGGTTGGTGGTCTCAGTTTTCGCACATCTCTCTCACTAGGTCCGTTGTGCGTAAACAATGTTAGATAATAATGGAGAATTATTAAGTATCATAGTTCTGCTTAATACACAAGTTTTTCCCCTGTCTTTACGTGAAATATTGTTACATAAATATATCAGCCTGTTTATTTTAACGATTCATTTAACCAACTGTTATTCGCAAAATCACTCTAATGGCTCCGAGTAATGTATAGATTTTAGTAGTTGATTAATATAAAAAGGCACAGTTAAAAACCAGCTACGCACTCACGAAGTCTTGGGCACTTTCCATGTACGACGGTATTATTTTTAGATGAGGTGGGACTCCGGGAGAGGAGGCAACAAATGGGAAACGGAATTATACCATCTGTTTCATATGCATATTTTTAGTATTGGGGGCATGCTTATTAACTTAAATGTTTGAAAAGTACAACCATTATAGTATATGCATTAAACTATAATAATATTAAAACGTCACATAGCGATAACTTAATGACATTTGGTTGTGATATATAAAGCTCGGTCCATCTCATTGCAGTAAGTGAGGCGGAGAGCACGATGGATATTAAAAATAAAGTGGCTGTGATTACTGGAGGTGCTATAGGCATCGGCTATGAAATAGCCGATAGGTTCCTTCATAAAGGTGCATGCGTAGTAATTTTGTTAGATATAAACGAAAAACATGGTGATGCTGCTGTTAAGAAGCTGACCTCAAAGCATGGAAATAACCGAGCTGTGTTCTACAAATGCAATGTTACAACTGATTTAGAAGCCGTATGGATGAATGTCGTCAAGAAATATCCTTCCATCGACATACTTGTCAATAACGCTGGAATTCTAAATGATAAACTAGCGAAAAAGACGATAGATATTAACGTAACAGCATTGATTGAATGGTCTTTGAAATATTGGGAGCACAGTCGCACAGACAAATCGGGTAAAGGTGGAACAATTATCAACCTGGCTTCCATATACGGGTATAGAGTGGACCAGTTCTTGCCTGTGTATCAAGCATCAAAATTTGCTGTTATGGGCTTCACAAAGTCCTTGGGACACGCATACAACTTCAAGCGATCCGGAGTAAGGGTAATGGCAATTTGCCCCGGTTTTACGCACACTAACCTTGTCGAAGAAGTGCATACTTTTGATGAGGTTATAAAAAAGACGTTAAGGCATTTCTAAAGGATCAACTTTGGCAAAATGTGGATTCTGTTGGAAATGCAGTCGTTGATGTGGTTGAAAAGGCAGCAAGTGGTACAGCTTGGTTAATAGAAGGTGGGAAACCTATAAAAGAGGTGTAAACATTCGCTTTACAAGTTTTTTGTATAACAGTAATAATAAATGTAATAAATTTTGATTTGACTTTTTTCGGAAAACGAATGAAGTATTAAAAATACATGACAGTTCTTTGATGTTTAGAAGCCTTATTAAATATAATATATTATAACGGCTCGCACAGCATTCCACGCCCTTCTCTTATTATATCGGTGGGAGCAAAATTAATTACACTATTATATTTTACAAAAACCTAGAGGTTTTTTTTTGTCAGATTTGGTGTTTTTTTTTTGTTTTGACTATTGATTTTGGTGAAAAAAAACAAAGTCATACTTTGTACGGGTTTCTGCAGTCTCCTAAACAAAGTGAATGATTAATGCCTTTCATTATATCCCATCATTTTAGTATAATTTTATATATTTCCATCAAAAGCTAAAAATAATAATAAAATGAATATTAAAAGCTTAAGCATATGATTATTATGGTGTATAAGATTTAGGGATGGATTGATCGAACAGCGAAGTAGGCAAATGTTGGCGTGATGAGCATGTTCTTTTATTCTTCACAATCTTGTAAGATCGTATTCCTGTCGTTTCGGTTGTTTCTGCTTGTGTTAATCATAAAAATAATAAAATAAGTGTAGTTCTCGTCATCGTTTGTCAGCTTTAGAGAGTGTATAATAGGTATATTGCGTCTGTTATATACTTGTTTATGTTGATTGCCTTAGTTGATCTCTAATAAATTGATAATTCCTATTTAAATAATATTAGATTGTAAGGTAGCAAGGTCAATGCAGTTGATCTCAGGTTATCAAAGCAGATGATCTTAACTATTTCTAAATAATACATTTCTTTATTTTAAAACCGTCGCCATTTTGAAACACAAAAATTTAGTTCTGTTCTTTATTTATCAGTGATATTAAAAAATACCTTCTTATCTTATTCAATTATTATATACTTATGTCATGAAATGATTATTCAGATTAAGTATATCGGATAAAATGTATTTTTTATTAATATCTTATTACTTTACAACGTTTTAACCAAAACATACATATTATTAAATATGTCTCGGGAAATAAAAAATAAAGTGATACTTATCACGGGCGGAGCCACTGGTATTGGGTACGGTGCAGCAGACAGATTTCTTCAAAACAAAGCATTACTTGTCATAATTCTAGACATTGACGAGATACAGGGCAATAAATCTGTGAATGATTTGAAATATAGATACGGTGAAAACAAGGCAGTTTTCTTTAAATGTGATGTAACGAAAGATTTAGAAGCTGTCTGGGACAAACTCATTGCTACATACAATATCGATGTTCTGGTAAATAATGCTGGAATAGCTGATGAAAAAGATCCAAAGCGACTTATTGATATAAATTTAACAGCGTTGATACAGTTTTCTCTAAAATTTATGGACCAATACCGAAAAGATAAATTAGGAGATGGTGGAACGATCGTTAACTTGTCATCGATATATGGAACGTTCACAGACCCATACCTTCCTGTATATCAAGCCACAAAGTTTGGAGTGATGGCATTTACGAAATCATTGGGAAACCAGGGTAATTTCAAAAGAACTGGAGTGAGGGTGTTAGCTCTCTGTCCTGGTTTAACTAAAACTAAACTAACAGAAGTTTTAATAACATGGGATGATAATTTAAATGAAGAATATGCTGAACTTCTAAACAACTCTCCATGGCAAACAGTAGACAAAGTGAGTGACGCCATAATCGAAATATTTGAAAAAGCAGAGAGTGGTTCTGGTTGGGTAATCGATGGTGGAAAACCAATACGGGAGGTGGACAAGTTTTAGTGTCAAAAGTGTAAAATGATTTATGTCAGTGACTGTTTATATTAAATGTCTTATTTGCATACCCCTCTAACATACGATAACCAAAGACGGCATAATTGTTGTTTTTGGATAGTTAGTACTTGAACATAATTTTATATAATAATATAATTTCTGGTAGTTAATGTTATATATATATATATTTCTTCTGTGCGTGTGTATGTGACTGAACTCCTCTCAAACGACTGGACCGATTTTGATGAAATTTTTTGTGTGTGTTCAAGGGGATCTGGGAATGGTTTAGATTCACAAATCAGCCCGGCAGATGGCACTGCAGTCGGTACTTTCATACTTTGCTTAATATCCTAATCGCTTTAAATATCATGCAGGACAACGTCTGTGGGGTCCACTAGTATATATATATGCTTTGAGTTCGTGCGGAAAGAGAATCGGCGTAGCTGTTATAGGAACTAATATAACTCTTCCTTGCAGCATGATAATATGATAGTAACATTCTTATGCCATGGGTTAACTGTGCTTTAAGTGACAATGGCGCGATACACAACAACTCCGATTTCAGTATGCGATTCTAATTAATCATAACTAAATTACAATAAATAAAGTAATTTTAATACAAGTACAGATACTGGCAAACATCTTCAACAAATGTCCTTGCCGGCGCAGAAGCGATTTTTAGGTATCACTGGGGGGTTGCGGGTGATGGTCGAGTGACGTGTCGATCGCGTGATTGGTAAATCAGTTGACCTTTGTGTCCCGAGCTGCGCAAACATTTCCCCACTCCCTTGTTTAATGCTCAAGAAGTTTGCCGGTATCTGTATTCGCAAGCTTTTGTTGACGAATAAAAACTTCGGGAACGATATCGCTGTCGCAATCTCAGGTTGGGCGAAAAATCACCGCAGGCGCATCACGTTTTTTAATTCAATCTCGATTCAACAACAACGATATCCTTTTAAGAAATACAATTGAATGTTAAATGAGCTGAACAGTTTTACATTTTATCAGTTTTGCGTTTTTTAATGTTAATTGACTAAGGAGAATTGTAGGCTTTCATACTAGTCTGTTTCCCACTAAATGGTGGCTATGCCCATACTCCTTGTATTATTTGATATATGTATAGTATTGTTGTGTAAAAAAAAAAACTAAAATAAGTAGTCCGGCTTAAAAATAATTTGAAATTCTGGGTCCAAAACCTAGAGATTAGTGTGACAAATTTGATTAGTTTTTTATGTAATAGGAGGCAAACGCGCAGGAGACTCACCTGATGTTAAGTGATACCGCCCCGCCCAAGAACACTCTCAATACTTAATAGAGATCGCAAGTGCGTTGCCAGCCTTTTAGAATTGGTACGCTCTTTTCTTCTTTTTATATAATTTTAAAATGAAAATATATTTAAAAAAATATCCGTCATTTACTTTAGAATTCCTATTTTATATTAAAAATATAAGGCTTTTGAAGTTGGATATATTTTAATGTGGATTGACTATAAAAAGGGTATATATTATATATATTATATATTCGTAAGAAATAGTTTATTCTTTACCAATAATTCCTTTCTTCCCTTGGATTCGCTTGCTTGAGTGAGCGTGAGCAATATTATGTCTGTGCACACATCCGTCTAAGCAAGCCTATTTAGCTAAGGTCTTTATCTCTTATTTAGTGGACTGGTGGACAAGTTTTAAGATTATTCGGTGCTTGACGTCATTTAGCTTGTACCACAGTCAATACAATACGGTTTGACTGTTCAGCAGTTAGTATAGTGATCTACAAAAGTTTTCAACTTAGTTTGACATTGATATCTTATTTTATGGTGGGAATAAATAAATATTTTTTTTAACATTTAAATAATTACTACTTTCAACGACGCCCAAAATACGCGTTGAAGAGTATATGGTCTTAACAAATATACATGTCAGAGATTATGTAATAAGAGGCCCAATGAGATTTGTTTTATTAGATTGGCAAGAATACCACAATATCATAGACATCTTACATGTTGCAAATTGTCAATGTGTCAAGTTCAATTTGTCAGTAATACGTTGGATTGATCGTTAAGTTCAATTGCCGACCGCTGCCTGACCTTGTTTTTAAAAATAAAAACAAATATATCGGACGTCGTTAGTGATAACACATTGGCAAATAATAATCGGTAATGTTATGATAATGATGATTACATATCACTATAATATTATTTAATATTTTGTTATATTAAATAATATTACCACCAGACGTCCTAGGTTCTATTCGCATAGAACGATATCTATATCGGTTGGGAGAGAAAGAAAATCAAACCCTCATTTAAAATAAATATACATATTATTATATGCCTTCACCGTTTTAATTAAAGTACTGTCATGTCTACTCATGTCTAGTCGGTCTCTTAATATCAATTAGACAAACTAGTTTTGTTTTTATGTATTTAGGGGGTATAATTGCTTTCTCAAATTTATTAATTAAATATTCTCAAATTATTGTGTCTTAAGATTAGTTCTATATAACTGCATATCAAGAATCATTAAGCATCCAAGATTAACCAACTAATATGTCTGTCCTTAATGATCCATTAGAGGGTTGCGAGACTTTCATAGAGACATTCATAGATAGGCTTTAAAAAAGTAACTATATGTTCTTTTCGGCAAGCGAGAGACTGTCAAGTCGTCTAAAGTGTGACAAACCTATTTCTAAATCAGTAATAACAAACCTTACTTCTGACCATTGTGGTCTGATAGTTGGCTTCTCTGACAAAATACTTGATGAAGCCAAGCACGTTAAGTATCGCCCCATCACAAAAAGTCGCATAGAAAGTTTTAGGCAAAATATTAATTCTAAGGTTTGTGCAATAGATAACTCTGTTCTAAATAATTCGGAGAGTCAATACAAAAGATTGTTTAATGTTATTCAAAATGTGTTTGATAGTATTTACCCATTAAAGACTGTAAAGTGCAACAAAAAATCAAGTTTGATGACTGGGCCACGAGTGGTATTTTTAAGAGTAGGAATAGGCTTTATGAATTATATGCAATAAGAAAATATAATCATAACGCAGTGTTTATGGAATATGTCAGAAATTATTCCAAAACTTTTAGAAAAGTTTGCAAATATACAAAGGCATTGCATATACGTGAGAAAATTAAGAATTCAAGTAATAAAATCAAAACTACTTGGAATGTTATAAATCGAGAAACAGGAAACCTTAAATCCCGTAATAATTCTTTCTTTTTAAAGGTAGATGATAAGATTATTGTTGAAAGCTCAGAGATTGCTGATATTTTTGAAGATTTATTTACAAACATACCTGTAATTACTACTTCTTCTCTGAATTCCTCTCCTAAGGAGGCTATTAGTTTTCTTAAAAGTCACGTACCGGAATGCAAAATAAATTTTCAGTTTAAGCACGTTAGCGCTGGTGATGTAGTTAAAACTTTTAAATCTTTAAAATTAAAACATTCTGGAGACTTGTGGGATGTTTCTGTACGTATTATTAGGGACATTATAGATATTATTGCCCCAGATCTTGCGTATATTTTTAACAATTGTATTGATGAAGGAAGTTTCCCAGATTTAATGAAGCATAGTAAAATAATACCTTTATTTAAATCTGGATGCAGGACAGAACCTACTAATTTTAGACCCATCTCAATATTGCCAACTTTAAGTAAAGTTTTTGAAAAAATTATACTAGAACAATTAATTACATTCTTTAATACAAACAGTCTTCTACACAACGCACAATACGGTTTTACTAAAGGTCGCTCCACTACCGATGCTGGAATAGCTCTGTTATGACATATATTTGATGCATGGGAGAAAACTCAAAATGTACTGGGAGTTTTCTGCGATTTGTCCAAGGCGTTTGATTGTGTTGATCATGAGACTCTGCTTTGCAAACTTGACCACTATGGTATAAAAAATGTAGCTCTTAACTTAATAACCTCTTACCTAAGTTGTCGAACTCATAAAGTTGATATAAATGGAACTAAATCTTCGGGATCACACATTAAAATGGGAGTCCCGCAAGGATCAATATTGGGACCATTTTTATTTCTTATATATATTAACGATTTGCCTTCTTATGCAAAGCCATTATGTGATATTGTATTGTTTGCTGATGACACGTCCTTGATTTTTAAAGTAAATAGATATAAGACAAATTTTGACGATGTGAACAATGCACTTTCTGAAATAGTGTGCTGGTTTTCTGCAAATAATTTACAATTAAATGCCACAAAAACAAAATGCATAAGATTTACTTTACCTAATGTTAAAACTACAACTATAGAGCTTAAATTGAACAATGAAAAACTAAATTTAGTTGATTCTACGGTATTTCTGGGCATTACAATAGACCAAAAACTTCAATGGAGTCAGCATATTACTAAACTTTCTGACAACCTTAGTTCTGCGGCATACGCTATTAGGAAAATTAGGCAACTCACAGACGAGGAAACTGCCAGAATAGTATATTTTAGTTACTTTCACAGCGTTATGTCGTATGGAATTCTTTTATGGGGCAAAGCAGCAGATGTACAATCTATTTTTATCTTGCAAAAACGTGCTATTAGGTCAATTTATGGATTGATGATGAATATTAGGCACACACAGAAAATCGATATTTTGACGGTACCTTCCCAATATATTTACAACTGTATCGTTTTTGTGCGTAGTAATATTAGTTCTCTTTTAAAGAACAGCGACATTCACAATAGGAATACAAGAAATAAGGGAAAACTTTTCCAGCCGTCTTACAGGTTGCAGAAAATAAATACTTCATTTATGGGCCTAAGTATACGCTGCTATATAACTTGATTCCTAGTGAAATATTGGAACTGCCTTTAAACAGATTCAAAACACATATCAAAAAAACCTTAATGTGTAAAGGTTACTACACAGTCAATGACTACCTGGAAGATAAAAACGCTTGGCAATAGTTCTAATTATATTCTTATAATTTGATTGGTTATCTTTGAAGTGTTATGAATATGTGTGTAATGGTGAATGTGGTAAAT